TCTGTGTAATTTTAAAATTTTCAACTTAAGTAGATTAAAGTTAGTAAAACTCGAAAGTTAATTTCAAATCTAAAAATAGTTATCTTATAACTAAGTGATTGTCGGCCTCATATATGTTACGTGAGATTTTTTCTCGGAAACAAATTAACTTAAGTGTAACTTACTCGTGAACTTTATTGCAAGCGAACCATCAAGTTAGTATAGAAGGAAGTTTATTATAATCTTGGATAGTCTGTTGAAGATTGCGGGATCTAGTCGAGTTTAACTAGATATTTTATAATGAAACCTTTAATACCAAGTGATAGAGTGAAATTAAAAAGTATCTCTACTTGACTGAAAATCTCTTACTTCATCTAGGTCTTCAATAAAATCTAGTCTATTGTTCCAATATGCATTTCAAGATCGATTTCAAATGTTGAAATTCATACATTGATTTGGTGTCGCAATGAAGAATTTATCATACTAATATTATAAATGCGAAAGTTCAGATGGGTTGGTGTTTGTTAGAGTTTGTAGTCTTATCGACTGAACGGATTTGGATAAAATTTGGTATAGATGTACAGGATAGTCTGAAGGAAAACATAGGCTACCAACTCTTGTTTTTTTTTTTAATCATACGCGGAAGGAGTCGCGAGCGAAAGCTAGTATTTAATGTTTGCTTTCGCCTGCGACTCGTAGCCTGCGTGTTCCAAACTAAACTCTACATATACGAGTATGCCAAATTTAATCGAGATCCGTTAAGTCGTTTAGGTGGTAAACTCTAACAAACATCTATCCATCTAAACTTTCGCATTAATATTAGAAAGAAGTAAGATAATACGTAAATATACTACATAACTTTATTTTCGTATTCAACAAGATAACAAAGACAGTAATCTTTGTTATTTAAAATTGTTGATTGTTGTTTTATAACAAGCTTCAAGAACAGCAGTTTGTGTGGATGCGTACGTGCGGCGACAAAAGTTAGACCGTGAGTTAATAACAATGCTACGTGATCGACAGAGGACAATTGTCAACGGTGTACAAAAGTTGAAATATGATTTTACACTGAGTTTTCACTGACGAAATATGTGAAGAAAAACATCTTAAAAAGATGACAATTTTGTTTTGTGTTTGGATGTATGGATGTTTTTATTTTATTTCCAAAAAGGCTTAGATTTTAGTACAGATCGCAGTCTGGAAGAACACATAGGTAACTTACCACGATTTTTTTAATTTGGGTCAACTATGTCGCTTACAATACTAACTGTTAATTAATTATTAAGGAATATGACTTTGTAAGATATTTCATAGCAGACGCTTTAACAGTGGTAGAGCCCGCTTTAACATCTTTGCACGAATTGGCCGGCTCGCCCGGTGCAATACCACGACCACACAGGAAACATGCGTGAAGTGGAAGCAATTCCGCGTTTTATCTGATGAGTGTGGTGCCGGAGGCCTAATTTTAGTCCCTTTCCTTTTCCACCCTTTTCTTAAGAGAAAAAGATGGGAAGGAAAAGTGGATTTGACGGTGGAGGAGACGCATAGGAAGGGTAAATGTCCTCTTTACGTGCGTCTCCTTCTTCGGATAAGGTAGGCAATGCATCTGCAATTGCGGATGTTTATGGGTAGCGGTCGCTTTCCATTTCGAAGGATTCAGGTGGGCGCTTGCTCGTTTGCAGACTTATATTATAAAAAAAAATTTAAAAAAAGACGCCACAATGTTTCTATGAGCGGGCGCACACTTTTAACTAAACTATCGCACAATTGTTTTGCGATTGTCGATTGTTTCGCCTTCAACTGTTTAGTTGCACAACTAAAAATCGAATAGTGTGCGCCTCCATATAAGTTCATAAGAATCAAAGCGAGACTAAACAGTGGTGCGATAGTGTAGTCAAAGGCAGTTATTTTAAAAATATTCCTTACATTTTTTAAGTCGCAGTATTGTCAGAAGAAAGAGCCTCACACTAATAGGATGCTTGTCAAGTTCCTTTAGATGTTTGCGTTGCGACTTAACTACTGAACTTCCCTAGTGTTTTATTATAAAGCAACTAAGTTAAGGAAGTTGAAGATACTTAATATTCTAGTCGTATTGAATCACGCAGGAAAAAATTTTGTTTATTTCAAACCGTATTCAAGTCCTATAGCATAACAAGAAGGACATTAGTTATGAGTGTACACCGATAGAGGTAGACCTAGAAAGAGATGGATGGATTGCGTGAAAGGTGACATTAAGAAGGGAGTGATGACTGAGATGACGGTTAATAGAGTTATGTGGAGGACGAAAAGCCGTCGCGTCTAAGGGAGTAGGATAAAGTAGGGGAGATGATGAACAATTCAACTCCTGAAACTACATTTAAGCTAAGTTAAGGGTGTTAAGAATAATAACAATTGCTTTAAAGATTTAAAAATGTAAATATTTTTAAGACTATATTAAAATAGACGAATTTATCGTCGGTGGCTCAGTGGTTTAAGCACTTGACTTGTAATCTACAGGTCTTGGGTTCGAATCCCGCCGCCATGTACTAATGTGATTTTGATTTTTCGAATTTTCATATGTACATAATTTACCCGACGTTCTTACGGTGAAGGAAAACATCGTGATACAATCTGCACATATCGGCGAAGAAATTCAAAGATATGTGTGAAGTCGACCAACCAAGTGGTTGACTATGGCCTAATCACCCTAATTTAGGGTAGGCTCCGAGCCCCTCGGTGGGGACATATAGTGAGCTGGTGATGGTAGACGAATTTACAAACGGTTACGTTAAAACAGATAAATAACGTTGATTTCCTATTTCAACTTGAAGCATGTTTAATAAAGTCTTCTCTCTCAATAAAGTAACCTTTGCATTTAGTATTTAAGTCACTTTAACGGTGATATGAAGTATACAAAACGCATTAAGTTAACAAACTTATGCACGCGGCACTCTGCAAGTTACAGAGTTGTAGATGGCGCTCGCGTCCATTTTAGCGCGACGTAACGAATGCAATATTTCGAGCGGCACTTAGCACGTAATGGACGCTCGGTTCACGACAAATATATTTACGGAAGCTCTGACTATAAATGCACGCGGTTTTATATAAACTTAGGGGATTTATGTACTGTTTAATCTTATTATCATACTAGCTGCTCCCGTGCGGCTTCATCCGCATGAAATTATGAAAATTTTATATTATTGTTTACGTTTGTCAAATTATCAACAGCAAATGTCAAAATGACATGACATGACAAACCTTGTCAATCTTGCTTCCTTGATGTTGGCAGCGACTTATCGTCTCTTTCCCACATTGGGTTTTTTTTCAAAATATTTACCCCCTGAGTTTAATGGCGTGAAAATAAATGGCCTAAAGCGTAACGTAAGTGTAAGGCTAATTATTAAAAAACGATTATTTAAAAATATGCTGTAATTGCTGACATCTTAGGCAACAAAGAAGTGTGTGTTTGCGCTTTATTACAATAGTATAGATGCTAAAGTTTGGTTATTTGTTAGAAAATATCTCTTAAACGGCTTAATGGATCTCAATGAAATTTAGCATAGATGTAGAGCATAGCATTCCACAGATGGTTATCGATTTACTATTGACTCCTTTAACGTTTATGATAGCGTTTTGGTTCGATTTCCTAAAATTAAAAAGTAATAATAAAGTGTTCGATAATTGAATTGTTAATTTTAAATTGGCTCATAAATACAACAGGTCTTATGAAGAAATCAACCGAAAAATTGTCGACAGCACTCGAAATTTGGTCAGGCTCCAAGTGTGAGAGAGACAGCTAAGCCGGTGTACATAAGATAGAGAGAGATAGATACTTAACGAGTGTTCTCGTATCCTCTTCAGGTTTGAGCGTTTTTAGGAAGCAGATAAATTAATGAGTTTGTTTACGGAATATTTGGATTACGAAATGCAAGAATTTTATCGCGATTGTTACTTTATGAACGACTCCGTCAGCGAATTTAAAAAATAATAAAAAGACACAGCCTATGTTTCTCACTGATGACGTAGCTTTTTGATAGTGAAAGAAGTATTGAAATCGGCATAGTACTTTTTGAGTTATTTCAATAAATACAAATAATATTATTATACGAGTAGTATCTATGTATAACTAATCTATATTAGGAATCATGAAATAGAAGTATATTTGTATTATGTCCACATTCCTTTGTTTTGATTGTGACGTCATTAAGAAATCAGTCCTATAATTAGGGCTTAACTCTAGCTTAGGCTGTCTAAGAGAACGATAATGAAATGAATAATAAATACACAGGTAATACTGCAAATTAGGCTACGACAACTAACAAACAGGGTAACTATATTCCACAGAAGCGCGTTTTAGTTTATTATTTAAAACAAATGACTTCCTCGGGCTAACCTTGAGGACGTCACGTGATCTAATGCCTTGTTCACACACTTCCAGTCCCTAGGGGTCAATGTTATTTTAAGTACATGCTTTAACTAGGTCTTGTCTTTAGTGTACGTAACTTAAGAGCGGCCGCACACCTTCGACTAAACTATCGCACAACGATTGTCGATTGTTACGCAGTCAATGCAACTGTTTAGTTGCACAACTAAAAATCGAGTATGCGCACCTCCATATAAGCTCCGTATGCGCTCGCTCTAAGTCTATTGTTACGTTGTGTTATGTGGTTTGGATATAATAATGTAATAATTAAAGATTATGTACTGGTATTGTTATACCTTAAAAGTGCGGTGTTTTTAAAATAATTATTGTAGTTTGCAGGCAAATTATTATTATTTCGAACGTTCAATTGTTTTTAATTATTAATCAAAGTTAGATTACACGTCAATTTAATGAATCGTAGTTTAAACCTTAATTCGACGGAGTTTTTTAAATTACTAAGACACTAAAGCCAAAATTTCACGTATTTTTTTCTAAGCTACTTAATGCAGTAGACTTTTTTTTCAAACAGTTAGTCACACTAGACACTATCGAATTAAAATTTAACAGAAGAATTCCAGTCGTCTCGCATCTTGAGAATAATTATTCCTCTTTGTTCCAGATACCAAAAATGATTCCTCCAAAGACCTGTCTGCTCTTCATCATCATCAACTTGTTCTGCGTGACCACAGCGCAGGATATGGACAAGCGCGTGCCTCAAGGTTTCCTCGGCATGCGCGGCAAGAAGTATCTCGATTCAGGAGAAAATGGAGAATTGTACAAACGGAAGCCTCAATTCTTCGTCGGTGTTAAAGGCAAGAAAAACGCTGATGATATTTACGACAAACGTGCTCGGTTGGGATTCTTCGGTATGCGAGGAAAGAAGGAATATCCCGAGTTGATGTTCCCGGACAGCTATCCTCAAAGAGCCGGCTCACTGTTCGGACAAATAGAATACGCAGCCAATGAGTTACCGATCAATCAGGAGCCACTCGATGATCTGATAACTGATTACATTCAAAAACTCCAAGGATCGAATCTGAGCCCAGAACATATCGATGATGGTATACCGAATGAATTTGAGATGACCAATGAAGTGGATAAACGAGCTAATCTACATCAGTTTTACGGCGTGCGAGGGAAGAAATCTATCCAGAATAAGAGACCGTACGATCTGTCGTTCCGCGGCAAGTTTATCGGTGTTCGCGGGAAGAAGGACGTCAAGAATGCCCAAGAAATTAAATTCCTGTTGGGGGAGAATGGCCCGTGGCCTAAAAGGAAGGCTCAGATGGGATTCTTTGGAATGCGGGGCAAAAAGTGGACTGATGGTAAGTATAGGTAGTAAGGATAGAATATCCACCGTTGAATATAGTTTATCAAACTATATATGTGTACTAGTTTTCGCCCGCGACTCCACCTACGTGGATTTAAAAGCAAAAATAAGTAGCCTATGTGTTTTTCCAGACTTTGCTCTATATATTTCAAATTTCATCGAGATCCGTTCAGCAGTTTAGGCTACAATTTCTAACAAACTTCTGTCCATTTAAACTTTCGCATTTATAAAATTAGTAATGTACAAAAATATTTTTGTTCCAGAATCGAGCGCAGAGGAGATACCGTACTAAACGCAATCCAATCCGAAAAGAGAATTTTTCCGTCTTGAAGACTTCATTTACTGACATATCCTACTCTTAAGAGCGTTTTGCCAATTTTAAATATAACCTTGAATTCGCACTGCTTTGATACATGTATTGAAACATGTTTTATACAAGTGTTAGGACAGTGGAAACTCAAGCGAGGCTTAATAGTTGTTTATACTAGTCAATATTGTAAGATGTTACCATGTAGTTAAATTATATGAGGAATTTTAGTTCAAAATTTTGTCTCTTAATCTCTTAACTTTTAGATTAGTGTTTAAAGTAGGTAGACAAGTACATGTAAAGTATAACGCATTTTTCTGTATTATTTAAACAAATAAAACAACTTTTGTTAAATTTTTACGTAATCAACTATTTGATAAGATTCGTGTCAAAGATGAAATTTTACAATAATTTTTTCCTATAATATGTTACAGTTTGTTTTTATTTTAACGTATTTATGCTACTTTTTAAGATTTCCTTTGTTTATTTTTAATTCATACACCAACATAGTTTCGTGGGTACATTTTGTAAGGGCTGGCAAAATGTTATCCATCTAACATAGAAATTGTAACAATACTATAAAATTTAATGTAATAATTATTTAATAAAGGCAAATGTCAATTTAAGGGAGTTTTATTTGAAACAAATCTCTTTTCACTTCATAAAGGCCCATTTACACAATGCGAATTTTTTGCCCGTAAATGGAACTTGACTGCACAAAACGTTTATAGCATCAATTTTGTTGTATGCAATGGGTATGACGCATCGCGTTAAAAGAACGAACTTGACCCCTTAAGACCTAGTTCTGTCAGTTTAAACTTAATCAATTCAACTCTTCAGTTAGAACTGAGCTTCTGTAATAGGAAAACAGCCTATGTTGGCATGTTTACTTGATAGTTTATATAATAGACTAGCTGTCGCCTGCGACTCCGTCCGCCTGTGCCTATGTGTTCTTCCAGACTACTCTCTACATCTATACCAAATTTCATCGAAATCCGTTCTGCCGTAGCCTAAGCTAGAAACTCTTAACAAACATCCATCTAAACATTCGCATTTATAATATTAATATGATATACACCCATTGGTTGAAATTCTACCAAAATTCAATTATTTTAAATCGTATAAATGCGAAAGTTTAGACGGATTGATGATTATTAGAGTTTGTGGCCTTAACGACTCAACGGATCTCGATGAAATTCGGCATAGATGTAGAAGATAGTCTGGAAGAACACATATCCTACTCACTTTGTAATTTTTTATTCCACGCATATGGAGTCGCGAGCGAATGCTAGTTTAATATAGCTTTACATATGTTTTCACATAAACTTATTTAATTTAATTTCTTTGAAAGAAGGGTACAAAGTTACGTTTCAGGTATTAATAATAATTAAAGAAAACATCCAAAATAAATTTCATATTTTTTATTAAAACTTTCTCCTTATAAATCCATCGATTGCTAACATAATATAGAATAGAACGTACATAGAAGCCATGTCTCAATGATATACATAAATACATACAATGCTCGTTGACAGCTAACAAACGCAGAACGCGCGGAACCGCGGCAACCATTATGTGACAGGACGCCATCTTGTTTCTATATCACAAAATGGCCGACAACCATAGCAAACGAATGCATACCAATAATTTTTGGTAATAAATGAAAACTTGAATCCTGTCTCATAAGTTCCGCAAGTCGTATAATTAAAATTATTCATTTAACAAAAACCTATCTCCAAAGGCCGTCGATGCTAAAACATGATTTACTAAAGGAAAACATTAAAAATGGATCAGTGAATATAAGAAAGTATATGCAAAGAAATTCATACCACAGTCCTTTCATATGTGCTTTGGAAAAAAGTACTAGAAAATCTATACAAGCAAAACGCTAAATAAAAACTTACGAGAGCAATTTAGGAATATTAATATATTGTCCGAAAATCGCACTAATATCGGACGGTTCAGTTATTTCTAAAAAAAAATTATCGCAAGACGAAACGTAAGTTAAATACTCAGATATTTTCCTAGTATTTGAATTGAAACCTAAAAAAAACATAAAAATGCTGCAAAACATACACAGCTGTTTAAAATGGCGCCATTTTGAAACTCAAAGAGACTTGATCAATTTATACAAGAAATAAAATTTTTAGGCAAATTAATTTTAATTTCACGAAATAAAAAAAACATTAAATATTCACAAAATACAAAACTGTCAAAAAATGACGCCATCTTGTAAACTCAAAAAATTTTAAAAAACGCAAAGCACATTTTATCCAGAGCAAGATTCCAAAGCGTTAACTACATTTTTAAATACATAAAGATTACTAAAAGGAGGCAACATTTTCGTTATTAAAAAAAAGAAAAAAAAAGAATAGATTACATAATTTCTTTCAAAGCTAACTACTTATATTACAAATTGTTTATGCATGTCGTTTTAAATAACTTACAATTAATTTTTTATTAATTAATATTATTATTGATTTGTTAAGCAAATGTTTTTATATCCATAGCCGGGTCTGACTGCGGGTGTCAAATGACGTCACAGTGCTATCGATGTCTCTTTTCTTCCATAGAGGATGTAAGAGACAACAACACGTCAATACGATCATAGTCGAAACCCACAGTTACTGTCGTACTCAGTTGTCAATAAAACAGTTCCTTAGTGAAGATTTTTCACACTAAGGATCCGTACAGAAAACCAGAGCCTTGACGAAAACAAAATTTTTATCGCAAATAAAATTGACCTCTATTCCATTGGCATAAGGTTTAATTTACTTAAATATTTTGCAAGTCTTTTATTAGATAAGTAAATTTCAACCTTATTCCATTCGCATAAAGTTCAATTTTATTATCACAAAAGTCTGCTCTATTCAACCGAGTATGGCAGAACTTTATCATATTATTCTATTGATAAATTACATTAAAAATCATAGAATGATATTAATAAAGCATTTTAAAATCCACTCCAAACTAAATCTTCATATTTCACGTTATATTTGGATGCATTGACGATATATTTTCACGATTTTAAAAGCATAGAACATAGCACGAAAATTTACCATCATTTGTCGCAAATTTTCGTGCTTTGTCGTATATTTTAGGCATATATTATGATTTTCAATTACTTTTTAACAGATACTAATAACAGTCGAATCTAAAAGAACAATCTAAGATATTTTAGTTAGGGAATGAATTTTTTATTTACTGGGTTTTGGTAACGATGTAATAATAATTTTAATTTACAAAAAAAAAACCAATAATAATGCAAATTATTCCCGTATTAAAAATTAATTAACAAATACTAATAATGCAATATTTGGACGAACTAAATATTAAATTTATTAATATATTTCAATAAAATTAATTACAAAAAATATTACATCGTTACCGAATTTCAATGTATTCAGATGATGATTTTATTTTAGGGATATGTTTTACAATTAAAAACTTCAACCTGTTTTATAGCGAATATATACCTCTCGCTCGCACTCACCAGCCTTCCCATATATCTGTCTCACGTTACAGCCATCTTTGATTTTAAGACGTATCTAAAACCGGTTTATTTATAAAAACATCACAATAAATAAAACTTACAATTTAAATGAAGCGCAGTCGTTTATACACAACCTATTAATGATTATTAAATGAAAAAAAAAATAAAAGAAAAATTCAATAATTCCCCAAAGACCATAGACAAAGTGTCATAGACTAAAATGCCTAAAAAACTGATAAAACAACTTCTGAAAAAAAAAAAAATTATAAAGGAATCATATAGCGGTTATAATATCCGACTAGAAGGACCATAATTTCTTTAATAATTTTGTCTGCAGTGAAATTTGTATTTACACATATCGTTGTCTCTAATTATTTAAAGAGAATTTTAAGGACAAATAACCTGACAGATGGATGGTGTTATGCAAAAGCTTTTTCAAACTGACGGAACTTTAGAAATAAACGCGGTGTAAAGTTAAACCTAGGAATAAACTTATACTCAGTTTATTCCTAAGTTTAAATTAATACCGCGTTTATATGTTAGTCTACGGTCTTTGAACAAATTTTATTCCACAAAGGCTTGTTTATTAGGCAATTAATTTTGTTTATAAGACCTTGTCTATTAGTCTGCGATTCCTAATTTTTTTACCTACAAAAATATTTTTTTTCATCGAAATTTAGTTTATGATATAAATCTGCGCAAAGCACACGCTTTCTGTCGTAAAATCGTGGATAAATGCATTAATCGATTAATTACATATTACATTAAAAACCCGCACAATGCATTTTTCACTCAAAACACATACAATTTCCCATACAATTGAATGAAATCTCCCGTCTCGTTCACTCGTGCTGTGAGTGAAAGAGAAGGCGCTATCCCGCAGGCGTGGCCGTTCCCAATGCATACATATTGGCTGTTTGGTCGTGTTATTTACAAAATAAATTAATACGCAACAAAATACAACCACACACAACCATTTTACGGTAAAATACTCTACAGTACTTCCCTTTTTCTCCATTTAACTTTGATTCATTACTAATAAATAATTTAAACACATTGAATTTTATAAAAACGTAGAAAATCCTACCAAAAATAATCAACTTCGAAATAAAAAAATAGCCAGCAGCTAATTTCTATCAATTTAAAAAATGTCAATTTTAGAATCATTTAGAATTCATTGTCAATACGAAAAAAAAAACAGCAATAATCAAAAGCCGACCTTCTCCCTTAGAGCATTAAGTTCATAATCGCTTGGACTCCGACTCGTCCAGCCAATATATACGCTATGAAAACCATTCAATATTGAACCTTATGTCGCATACATTAGATTGCATTTTGCAACGTCAGCGGGTGTCCGTGCGTCGCGCTGTGGCCGTTGTGCGTGGTGAAGTCGTCGTCCAACAGCTTGGGCATATCGGCCAACTTGATCTGTCCAACTTGTGCGGGTTGGTCGTGTTCGGCCAACGTGCGCTCGTTCTGTATGAAGTTGGCCGATATGTGGCCAATGTGTTGGTTGCCGTTGTTGGCAGCTAACGTCGGCGTGTTGTCGTTCTGTTTGGTTACGGTCGTCGACTGCGTTTCGGAGGTGTCCTTGTTCTGCAATTTTAATTAATACTATTATAATTAAGGTAGTTTAAGAAAATACAACAATAAAATCGATTTCTTGTTCAGATGAATGGCCATAAACTGAGCATAAAAAAAGCCTAAACTGCTCAACCGATTTCGATGAAATTTGACATAGATGTAGAGGATAGTCTGGAAGAACATATAGGCAACTTTTGCTTTTTTTTTAAATTCCACGCGGACAGAGTCGTGGGCGAAAATTAGTTAATTACATATTACAGTTTTAAATTATAAAGTTGTTTGTTGTTGTCAAATATTGACAATAGCTGAGATTATGAAATGAACTGTAGGTAGATTGAATTTTTAAAATAAGTTATGTATATTTACATCAGTTGTGTCGGACAGTCCCAGCAGGTCGACAGTGACGTTGCCGTTGTTGACGCCGTGCGCGCTCTGCGAGGAGCCTTCTTGCTGCAAATGAAACACAGTTAAAAGTAATTCGTAACGTGGAATATCAGGCTCGAAGGACCACATTTATTAGCATTTTAAAGACAAAATCGATCTTTGAATACCCTTCATCATCATCTATTATCATCTATCATCCTTGAATATCAATCGATCGTTGAATAATCCTTTCTTTTAATAAGCCTCTAATACGATACGAAATACGACGAAAGATACAAAAACTAAACGCCAAATAAAGCAGTAAAATAAAGACATTCTTAAGCAATAGCAAAGGTCTTAGTTGTCAATAAGAATTTTGAAATTTGCAGATGGATGTTTTACAAAATGTAAACAATAAAACAAATTATTAGTACTATCTGTCAGCTATTGGCCAAATAATGGAACGAATCCTAAATACTTCGCTTTTAAAGCGCCGCTTACAAACTAGTATACATCAAATTGAAAGGAATTTAAGCATGGCCTTATTTAGGACACTTACTAATATTATAAATGCGAAAGTTTAGATAGATGTATGTTTGTTTGTCTGTAGCCTAAATGGCTGAACGGATCTTGATCAAATTTAGCGACATAGAGGATAGTGTGGAAGAACACATAGGCTACTCACTTTTTTTATTTCGCGCAGACGGAGTCGAGGGTATTAAGTATTTATCGTTTCAGTATTCTGCTGACGATCTGTCAGTTACCTGCGTGGGTGCGAGCTGCAGCAGGTCGTGGGTGTACACTGTGTTACCGTTGTCGGGCACCAGCACAGACACGCCCTGCGCCACGGGCACGTGCTCCTCCCGGCTGCGGGGCACGTGCTCCGGCGGAGGCACCGCGATGTTCACGTGCACGTGTCCTTCACCTAGTGTCCAACAAAATATTACTAGAGGACGCGTAGGTATTTAGTGTCTGGAATATTTAATATGCTCTACAAGAAAATTTACAGAAAAGGTACCAAAAAAATTTAAAACATAAAATTTTAGACATTCTAAAGTTTGTTTTTTTTTTTGGTTGTTCGGTTTGTTTGTTATGTGAGAGAAATTGTTTTTACAAATAATTTATTACATTTAAGCAAGTATAGTGTACCAATAAATTAAGGGTTTAATCTTACACCAATAAACTGTTTTGGCAGTTTAGCGAAGTTATTTATATGAAGCTTAATTTTATGTACTTATTAAAAAATAAAAAGTGGCAGTTTAATGATATATGTCCCTACTGAAGTGCTCGGAGTGTCCAAGTTAGATGTAAATCGATTTCACCTCATATTTTTGAATTATTTCAGAGATAACTTTCCTTCACCGTTACAACGTATGCCCTTTGACGAAACTGTCGCACAACTGTTGTGCAACTGTTGTGCGATTGTCGATTATTTTACAGTCAATTCAACTGTTTAGTTGCATAACTAAATCGAGTAGAATACGCACCTCTATATAAGCTCATAGGAATCAAAGCCAGACTAATCAGCTGTGCAATATTTTAGTCAAATATTACTTCATCAATACAAATAAATATCACATAAAGTACTTACTTTGCTGCGTAATTACATCTGGAACTTGTGAGGTTTGTTCAGGTTCTAACACAGGTTTGTTTTCAGTGACAGTGCTGTCTTGTAATATTTCACTTGACTGGGAAACTTCACTGGCTTCTGTGGTGATTTCACTGACTTGCGTAGTGACTTGCTCACTGATTTGTTCACTGACTTGTGTGTTGACTTGCTCGCTTGCTTGTGTGTTTGCTTGTTCTCCGGTGTGTTCGTTGTTGGCTGGTGTATGTTGTGCTTTGCTCTCTTGCTGTTTCTTTTCTTCCTCTGCTTGCTGTAAAATTATAAATACAGTTAAAAACAACGGAGAATAAATTATCCAATATTCTCCAGTCTTCTTTCTGTTTTGATAACTTTTACGTAAAAAATGCGAAACAATGAAGCAATTTTAAAAATAACTGATTACGACGCATGAAACATAAACATATGCAACGTAAATATATTTATTCCTAGTTATTTTCAAATTTGCACAAAAATTAGTATTTATCAATGTAATAAAAAAAAAAAATAAAAAAAAACGTGTAAATTGCACAACTGTGACTAACAAGTCTTAAAAACCATTTATTTTTCACATAGATTAAAAATATGAAACGCTTTTGTGCGTTGTATATGTATGTATACGCATACCGACCCGCAGTGGGCTAGTGTGGTTGAATATGGCCTAGCCACTCCCAACTTAGGGCAGGCTCCGAGCCTCTCGGTGGCGACGTATAGTAAGCTTACTTCACCAGCTGGTGATGGTGATGATGATGATGATGATAATGACGCGTTCATCACTCACTTTCGCCGCTAACAATACGCACGTGTACCACGTACCTTACGTAGACGTGTGCGTGCCATGATAGCTTCGACACGCTGCTTCCTGGCGAGGCGCTCCTTCTCCTCGCGCTCCGCCTCCTCGCGGCGCAGGCGCTCGGCGGCGCTGGCGGCGCGCCGCTTCTCCTCCTCCTCGCGCAGCCGCGCCTCGCGCTCCGCCTCCGCGCGCGCGCGCCGCTCCGCCTCCTGCCGCTCCAGCTCCTGCTGCACCTGCAAGTACACGTTGTCTTAAGCGCCATTACCTTAAATGTTCAGGAGAGCCATTTAAAGTCTTCATTTTTAGAAAAAAAAACATAAACGCAAACCCTGAAAATAATTTTTCAGAAAAGATTTTCAGACCGGTTCTAGATTTAAATTACTATCTGCATACTTCATTATTTATTTCAGATTTAAAATTCTGAATATACGAGTCAATATCGCGTAAAATGGCGGTTCAAACATATATCCTTTCACCAGTCGATATTATAATAAAACAATCCTTCTTTTACTTCACTAGATTTTTTCCCCACGATTTTATCGTTACATGCATATAAGTACATTTCTATATTCGAAAAATGTTTTAAAATATATTTTTATACTATTAGATTTAATATATTACTCAATCGTAAATCATTTGGGACTTGAATTATTGGATTTTGATTGGACTTTCACTAGAGGTAGCTGACAGATCTGGGTATATATTTTTTTAATTCTGAGAAAGTATCAGGCATCCGTTAATCATACTAATATAAGAAATTTGAGGTTATACCAAACGAAACTTTTCATTTAACATAGTATAACTCACTTCTATAGCCTTCCGCAGTTTTTCTTCTTCAACACGTCGCTGCAGCGCGGCCAGCTCGCGCGCCTCCTCCTCTTCCCGCCGCTGTCTCTCCTCTTCCAGTCGCTGTCTCTCCGCTTCCTCCTCCGCCTCGCGCTGGAGACTGAAATTTCAAAGTACAATGTTAAATTAAGTACTGGTTTACCCTCTTTTATTAGTTGTCACCTGTGATTTTAACCACATAGATTTAAAAAACTAAATTAATTGCGTTCTTTCATACTGTTCAATCTATATTTCATCCAGATCCATTCAGCCAACAAGAATTCAGTGTCAATGATCAGGTACTTAAGTGTCTATAGACATTTAGAGAGAAGTGTCGCCGAGTTCTACATGTATGTGGTGATGACGTGATGTCCACTGGTGAGCTCTAGTAACATGTAATGACATGTGCTGAGTTGAGGTAAAATGCGGTGACATGCGGTGAGGTTTGGTAAGATGTGATATTTGGTGACATGTGGTGAGACGTGCTATGCTGTGGTAAAATGTGGTGAGTTGTGTCGAAGTCTGGTGAAGTGTGGTGAGTTGTGTCTATGTTTGGTGAGATGTGGTGAGTTGTGGTGTTACTGACCGCTGCCTCTCCAGCTCCGCCTGACGTTCCAGCTCCTCGCGCGCGCGCCGCCTGCGCTCCGCCAGCGCCGCCTTCGCCTCCTCCTCAGTGGTGATGCGCCGGGCCATCATTGACGCTGCACACAATACACAATTATCTATACAATTAATATAAAAAAACCGTATTTTGAGAGCCGTATTTCGTGTATATGATGTATTATCTGTACTTTAAGAAAAACGAATTTTAAAATATTTATATTGAGCTAGCGCGCTCTATCCTTCGGCCGCGTCTTCACTTAGCTTAGGTGAAGTCGTGGTCAAGCGCTGGTTTAATTATGTTAAAAAAATTTTATCAAACTGCCAACATATCCAGGTACGTTTTGGGGCTATTTTTGAAATGACTGGACCATTTTTGCTGAGGCTTTTACTAGCATGTAGTATTATGAGTGCGATATCTTTGTAATCAGCATGTTTATAAAACTTTTTAATTTAATATTTTCGGTACCTAAAGAGTTTGAACACTTCCAAAGACAATGTATTAGCCAAGAACATTGCACATATTCATATACAAAATAATAAAAGAAACTAAACGAAGTTCTATTTCTTCACAAAGAAATATAGTCCTGTAGTAATATCTTGTATTGTATAGTTTTGTAAATTACAAAATTAGATTGTTGTGCTTACCAGTCATTTCATTATCCTCCGTCTTCTCTTGAGACGGCTCCTTTTTCTCTTCTCTCCTCTCCTGAGACGGCTCTTTCTTCTCTTCTTTCCTTTCCTGCAAAGGTTCCTTCTTCTCCTCTCTTCTTTCTTGCGGCTCCTCGCGTTGCTCTTCCTTTTCAACGGGCTTCTGTACTTCTATCGGTTTATCTTTATTTTCTTCTACAATTTGTTCGGGCTTCGGTTCCGGCTTACTTTCTACATTCTCAATGTTTTCGTTTACCTGATATATTTATTCAAATTAATTATTGTATAAAATGGTTATAAGAAAGTAATCGTTACAAAATGTTTATATGTTTTTTTAACTTTAGTTTTTAAGTTTAACATGCAAGTATAATTTTTTAAGCAATAAAGTTATAGTATTTTCTTTTATAAAGTAAATTATATTATATAGACATTGTGTTTTATTGCTTTTTAGTAGGTAGTTGGTCTCCATTGTCGAAGCAATTATTTCAAATATTTCAAAATGTTACAAGTTTCAGTTAAAAATAATTATTCACCTTATCGTGTATTTGTTGTGTGGTGATGACGTCACCGATCTGCAGCGCCTCCAGCTTCTGCGTCACTTCTATGGCGCTCACTTGACGCTTGTCTGAACTCACGCTCTGAAACAGACAATCATACTAATATTATAAATGCGAAAGTTAAGATGGATGGATGTTTGTTAGAGTTTGTTGCCTAAACGGCTGAACGAATTTCGATGAAATTTGGTTTAGATGTGGAAGATAGTGTGGAACACATAGGCTACTCACTTTTTTTTTTTTTAAATTCCACGCTGACGAAATCGCGGGCGAAAGCTAGTTACTAAGTAAATACGAAAGTTAAGATGGATGGATGTTTGTTAGAGTCTATTCCCTAAATGGCTGAACGGATCTTGATGATTTGCCATAGATGTAGAGCAACTTCTAGAAGAACTAGGCTACTTAGTATTTTTTTTTAAATATTTATTTATGAAATGATGTTTTTTAATACATTTACCTTATCCATAGTATCTGCGGAGTGTCGCGGCGGCGTGGGCGACAGCGCGCGCCCCGGGGACTGCGACTTGCCGCGCTACAACAAAATTCAACATTTTACAATATTACATATGCAAAAGTTTACACGGATGTTTGTTTGTTAGAGTTAACCGCCTATAAACTTATAATTGTTTGTCGATTCCGTACAGACAGACTCGCGGGCGAAAACTAGTGAATTATAAATGCAAATTTAGATCGATGGATAGATGTTAGAATGTGTAGTCTAAACAAACGGATTTAGATGAAATTTGACATAAATGTAGAGTACAGAAGACCACAGAGGCTACTTTGATTTTTTTTGTAATTCCATGTAGACAAAAGAGAGTTTACTATAATTTTGTCAATCATACTAATAATATAAATGCGAAAGTTTAGATGGATGGGTGTTTGTTAGAGTTTGTAGCCTAAACGGCTGAACGAATTCCGATGAAATTTGGTATAGATGTAGAGAATAGTCTGGAAGAACACATAGGCTATTCAGTTTAGTTTTTTTTTTATTCCACGCGGATGTAGTTGCGGGCGATGGCTAGTGATATACTAAAATTGTCAAGGTATTTATTACAATTTGATATTGAAATTTCAAGTGCTTTAAAAGTCGAGTCTTATAAAAATATACATCAAATTTAATTTTAAAAACATCAATTGTATGGAGTCTGACTAGAAATTTAAAAAAGTTACCTTTTCATATTCTTTGGCAGGCTTTGGTTTCCTATGCAGCGGCGGCTTGCCCTCCCCCGGGGTGGTGGGGGGCGCTGCAGACCAAGTACAACTGTAACTTAACTGCACTGAAACTGAAGAACACAGCAGTAACTTCCGTCCAACTTAGATGTAACTTGCCCAAGCACTAAGCTGTCACATATAGGACGAAACGATGGAAGATACTGCAATGTTCTAGCATGATAAAAGAAAAAACCTTATGGTTTAAAAAAAATATACTTTTTCGAAGACGTAATTTTACAAGATTTTCATATCTCATTTTACCAATCTATTTGTTTACCCTGGTTTTTAAAAGTGTTAAATATAAAATCATTGAATTCAAAAAAATATTAAACCATCTTACTAATATTATAAATGCAAAAGTTTAGATGGATTGATGTTAGTTAGAGTTTGTAGCCTAAACTACTGATAGCATCTTGATGAAATTTGGCATAGATATAGAAGATAGCCTGGGAGAACACATAGACTATTTATTTTTATTAAATATACACTCAAAAGTAAGTAAATCATATAATACAAGCTGTCACATATTCTAAAAACAGGCTATATATTCTCGCGAAGAGTGATTCGTAATCATAAAGTATATTATAATCGAACGTTTAAAGCACATGTCAATAAGCACGTCCGAAGGCTAGGAGTCCATCACCACGGTACATCATCTCACCAGGTCTGGGCGAGGCGTGCAGCGAGAGCGGGCGCGGCTTGCGCGCGGCGGGCGGCCGGCGCGGCGCGTCCCCGCCCGCCACCGTCGTCGCATCGCGGGATACTGACGGCGTGGTTGCGATACTGTTCGCTCCTGTGTCCCCCCCGCCTGATATTGTACAACAAATACACTCAAATATCTGTCACACTTAGCCAATAAAGTTGGATTGCACTGGATTGGACAACTGTTAATATAATACCTAACTTGAAGTACTCAGGTACTCACCTATCTATGGTCGCCAACTGGCCAAGTGTAAACCTGGCACTAATACCAGATTGACTTGACCAGTACAGTTGGACAGTAACGGTTTACCAAGACATAAATTGGCACAATATAAACTGTAACTACCATCAGTACTGATAGTCGTAACTTTTAGGAATTATTGTCCGGTTCACACTTGGCCAGTACAGTTAGACAGCACTGGATGGAACTTGCCTAGTGTGAACCGTGCACTAATAACTTCACACTTGGCCAGTCGAAGTCAATACTTGGAAGTCAACTGGAACAATCGCCAGTAAGTCCATAGAATGTATGTCTGCAGTACTGTCCAACTGTACTGGTAAGTGTGAACCAGGAATAACATTAAATTGTAAATAAATTAGAGAAAAGGGGGCATATTTTATCAATAAGGGTTTGAAACAAACACGACACTATTACTAGAGTTAGTTATTTTAAATTACCACATATTGTACATTTACATACATTAATGAAAATTATATACAAAAAAGCAAAGCGCGTATAGCGACGTTTAAAGCTAACATAAATATATTCAATGTTTGTAAAGTGCACGACCCTTTATACAAACATCAAACAAAAATAATACTTAACCAGCACAAAAAACATGATTACTACAAACCAGTACTTGTAAAATATAGTCAACTCTTTCTTTTGTATGTTCAAAGACAGAGATAACTGTATATTTTGATGGTTGTTCAGAAATTTAAAAATAGAGGCAGCATAGTTTACACTTCACTTGACACATTTATCACCTGATCTACTAACGCTATCTATTAATAGACCCTCAAACCCACATGTCAATACATTTACTATATTGTTTAGTTTGTAACAAAAGATAGAGAATATCAGAACTTTGTAAAATATTTGTAACATGTCAATACAAGGACATAAGGCACTAAGCTTTACAACTAACTTAGTACCTTTTAAAGTTACCGGAGAAAAAATGTTCACTATAGTCTATATATTTCTAAATGTGTGTGTTTGGTGCGTTCCGTGTTATACCTCTGGGCGTATTAACGCCGGTGCCGGCGATGGAGGCGGGGCGCGGCTTGCGGGGCGCGGAGGCGGCGCGCCGCACCACGCCCGCGTTGGACAGCGCGCTGCCCGGCCGCGAGCCCGGCGTCGTCTCCCCGGACCGCGTCTCTGTGCACACCGACCCTTGTATCCTACTCTAACTCCTATACCACTTGTATACTACTGTATCTCACTTGTATACAACTGTATCTCACTTGTATACAACTGTATCTCGCTTGTATACAAGTACATCTCACTTGTATCTTACTATATCTCACTTGTATATGAATGTATCGCCTTGTATCCATGTATTTTACGTACCCATTATTTATACTGATGATTACTTACCTGTATGTGTTGATAAAATGCAATTCAAAATATCAAGTTAATATTGTTCTAAGAAATAATCTATCCAATTTACAAAGTAATTTGTTTATGAAATTAAACGAAATGTGCTTAAAGTAATAAACATAAAAGAAGTGAAATAAGGCGAAAAAGCGTAGTGGAGCGTAAGAAACAAATCCATGAAAACCCAAATTAAAAAGCAGGCGTGGATTTAAAAAGAAACAAATTTATATGTCATTAAAATAGCATAAATTAAAAACAAACAGAGTTTTAATCTGGTCACATGTAAACTGCATATTAAATAAATAAACATAAAAAAATAAATTTATTAGTATTTCCACTCACCTTTAGAATTGAGAAACTGCACAAGAGATGGAGAAAGATGTTAAAAGAAATATACAAAGAAATTTATACGTTTTAGAAATTTACAAAATAATACTTTTTTAGCTACTTTGCATATTTCTTTTTTAACCAATAAAGTAGTAAGAAAGAGTACCCGAGTTCCTTGTGCCTCAAGAAAGCAGTCCATATTCCTCAGAGTAGAGCAGTTACCAAGTTAGAGAAAATCCTTAAATCATTTTGAAGAAAACGACTATATGAGCATATATCAAACAAAACCACTCTTAAAAGTGCAATAAACCTATTTCACTCAAAAATCTGTGCAAAAATTAGCATTCAAACACAAATCCTAATAAGGAATTATTTTCTCAAAATTCGATTAAATACATCGTAACCTAGTGGTCGACTCAGAATTACTACAGCTAAGCAAAGCTGAGCTCACACACTCTTAGAACTCTAAAACTACCGAGTAAATCTAATTATCTGTATAATATAACCAATATCAAACATTTTAAATTAGGGACATTAAATACTAACTATTAATCCGTTATAAAAGTTACACCAACAATGCTTTAGATTGATAACAGCAGATGTTAATAAACTTTACAAATTAGAGAAGTAAAGGTGACAACAAAAAATGACACTTAAAATCTGGGACACTGTAACACGACAGTATAATTGAATATTTTAATTGACACTTAGTATACATAAACCCGTATGTTATACATGACATTTGGTATAATTGATCCCGAATGATATACATTACACTTGGTATAATAGTACCCAAATGATATACATGAAACTTGACATAATAGAACCCGAATGATATACTTGACATTTGGTATAGTAGAACCGGGATGTTATACACGACTTAGCATACGAACTCCAATATTATAAAGCGTTAATGAGCACTAACCGACTGCAGAGCCGGAGGTTATTGACCAAGTTATGCGGTAGCTGGACTGCGAACCAAGCGCCCCCTAGCGGTACCTGCAATGTACTCACGGGCGCGGTTGAGGTGTTGAATGGAGGGCGAGGAGACGGGCGTCAGGCGGGGCAGCTTGTCCAGTCGCGTCATGGAGTATGCCCTACCTGGCGCGCGCGGGGCGGGCAACGTGGGCACGAGGTCGGTGCGCCGCCGGGCCACCGACGACCACACTACCGTCGGCTGACGGTCGGGTTCGTCTGCGGACACCGGTTGTAATCATTCTTACAAACTCTATCACTCATACAAAAACATGTAGCTCTAAACTCTCTTTGGAAAAACCTAAGTTAGTACAGAATCTAATACGTTTTCATATCCCTCAATGGGCGTCGCCAAGGACGTCTCTAGGGTGGGGGGTTGTTTTGTAACCCCCTAGAGAATCGAAAAATGTAAATTACATATAAAAACTTCAAAAAACATGAAACTAGCTAGCTGCCCCTCACTAAACCTAACTATATCATCGCTCGAAGACCCTCTAAGTATGAATTAACACCCGTCATACAAAAATCTTACAATTCACACATATTTTAAGATTTATATTTCACACATAACTAAAGAATTAAAATCCTAGTACTTATGTGTCCAATTGTCCAGTTACATAAGACATGCCATCAGAACATCGTTTACAACAGCTTGCATTCACATATGACATTATTGAATCCTTTCAAATTACAAAAGCATACATAACTCTTATCTCCATATACACAAGGGTTATAATCCTTCGCATTCAAGTTTACACCTTTTACACCGGCTTAGTTTTCTTGACTGCACTATTGTGAACACAAATGTGCCTTAAGAGATTGTATTAAGAGTGATATTCGTTTACCAAATGTATTTTCAGTCAAGTAATCCTATGCAAGGCCAGTTGAGATTATTCACCAAGAGCCAGCATTTTCTGTACTCTTAAGATATTAACAGGCATTCGCTGTGTACACTTCACGTATAATTTAAACAGATGTTTCTAGACTGGCTTAGGAAATTAAATCATCACATTTGCATACACAAATTTTGTACGTTCACACATATTTAATGGAAAATTAAAAGCATTTATATACATTTAAGGTCATATTTTGCTTAGCCATTTTCTTAGCTTAGTGTTAATAAATTTTTGATCAAATCATGAATTAAATAACTCTGTCCAATATCTTTATATTATTGTGTGTACTTTTTTTTATACTCCAGGTAAGTATCCCATTAATTCACTTTCCACTTGACATCTAAGTTTTTTAAGATGTAATCGTTATTACAAAAATGTTTACTTACAATAACTTGTGAACATAAGTCCTTTGCAGCGTGAAAAATATAACTTAAAATTAAAATTCACATAACATAAACGTATTACATGGATTTCTATAGCACGTCGATTCCTTAACTATATCAAATTTATTACAAATAAGTATCAAGAAGCATAAATCCGCGTACACTTTCAGGTATAATAATACAATAAACGGCAATGAGAAACTACTTAGTCTAGAGAAACCAGCTGAAAGTACACTTCAACTGTGAAAAGCTAAAAGAAACCTTATCCCATATAACTAAGATTGAAAATGGCTCAATAGAAGAAAACAAGCAAGAGTATAAGACAGTAAAGCAGACGTTAGCAATGACCTTTCTTAGACAAAAGAGGAAATCTATTATGTGTTGACAAAGTCTGTTTTTATGTGTTGATATTGGATTACCTATGGATTTTTAAATCTGATATCAATGGATATAAATCCCTTATCTTGCCTTGTCATGGATAAGTTTCTCTTCCCCTAGACAATCCATGTAATTCTTTGACGACTTCTCCAAATGGTGAAATAAGTGATTTACACCTTTTGTAAAATTCTTAGTGTTGACTTTTAGTTGATCAAAGAGTAAGTATGCATATTTTTGATCATAGGTAAAAAAATGCGATTTCCACCCTTTGAAAATAAAAATGTGAACTTTTAGTTGATCAAAGAGTAAGTATGCATATTTTTGATCATAGGTAAAAAAATGAGATTTCCACCTTTTGAAAATAAAAGTGTGAACTTTTAGTTGATCAAAGAGTAAGTATGCATATATTTCGTTGAAGGTAAAAAGTGTGTACACACCTTTAATTGTAATAAATGACATTTTGGTGTAAAAAATGATTTTAAATGAGAAGTAGATTCTTTAGCATACCTTTATTATCAGTGTCGGATGTGTCTAGGTGTAACGCCGACGCTCGTCTCGTGAGCGGCGCAGACGCGAACATCACATTTGTCGTTGATGCAGCCCTGAAACGTCAAGCGATTCTGTTACTAATTTGTATTGAATACAGTTTACAAGGGTTAGTTTTCATTCCCGAACCAATGCGAATTATTTGCCAGTAAAAGAAATTAGAGTAGAATAGTAGATGCCACAAGTCATAATTTTTTGAAACTTCAACATTATATGTTAAAGAATTTTAGCGTTTTCGTAAAAGAGTTTTACAAAGCTAAAGTATGCAATTATTGTTTCATGCAATAGTTATATAAATCCAACAACATAATAATGCCCATAACCAATTTACACTTTTTATATATTATAGCGAAAAAGATTTTTTGAAAATTAGTGCGATATAAGGTAGTGTATACTTTTGTTTGATCTCCAAAACAGCTAGTTTAATATGCAAATGTGCACAAAATTTACGCACAAGTTAATGGCAGCAGAACCATAACCGGTGATTTGTGGGCATTGTCTCTCAGAGACAATGCTCGCTGGTGTAATATCGGAAGGAAGATTACGTCATGGAGTCTGGACCATACTGGTAGCATTTAAATTGCAAAATTTTTCGTCACCATTCTCAAAAACATATGGTTAAATTTGAGTTTAAATTTATCAATATTTATAAGCCCCAACACTACATAGTCCCAGTACAGTAATCGGGACGCTTGAGAGCTTAACCGCGACACTGCATTGCGCCATTGGACCATAATTATTCACGCGTGCCAAATTATTCATGCCTATTATCCACTCTGCAGTAGCCACTCTGTTACAATTTATTTTTATTTCATTGCAGATATAGAGATAAATCTTATAGCCGTCCTATCTAAACATTTTTACCTTTATAAGGCTGTAAATAGACTTATTACAGACATGGTATAACTTCAACATTGATTTTTTTAAAATAAATCTATAGACAAAATAAAAACATTGTCAGCCAGTGACACACGTTAATGCAATACCTCATTTCCATTAAATTCGACTATGGCTTGCTATTTTTTTATCATATGTCTATCGGACAATGTACAATCTAAACCCGGAAATATACAGAGATATAAAAATTAAATAAGAACTCTTTGTTCGGCTTCTGTGTCAAAATTTTCCGCATCTGAGCATCGATTAATATAATATCTAATCGGCTTCCAGAAAGTGGTGATAAAAGGCAATATAATACAAGAGATAATGTACAACAACAGGTATTACGTTATCGGTCGAATAAAAGTATATTTTTGCAACACAAACAACGCTTAGCATTTTGTAGCCAATATGTCTAGTATACTTTATAATAGATTTCAGAAAAAAAAAGTTTAAAAACCAATTACAATCTGCATTTCTGTAAGAACCATCAAAAGACGAAATATTAAGACTTTAAAGAACTCTATTTTTAACGTAGTTTTGTAAAAAAAATCTATCAATCATCATCATCTCCTTATTCTACTCCCGTAGGGTCGGCGCAACAGGTTTTTGTCCTCCAAATAACTCTATCATACGTCATCTCAGTCATCACTCCCTTTTTGATCACGTCACCTTTTACGCAATCCATCCATCTCTTTCTATGTCTACCTCTACCGGTGTACCTTACTCATAACTAACGTTCTCATTGTAACATGCTATTCATCCCTCCTCATAAAATGCCCATACCATGCTAATCTTTTTATCAATCTATATTTGCATGTTTTATTCTTTTTTCTACCTTTGTTAACTTAGTTTACGTTGTAATTATAGCTAGATATGTTGCGTCTAATGATGTATAACTAGTATTTTATTTAATTCCCTGAGCTAGGTGTTCGCGATACAGGCTGTGCCTAGTGCGAGGACGCTGGGTCAATTTTCTGTAACCATTTTTTGTTAAATAAACGAATGTATTTATTTTATTATTATTATTTATCTTACTACAATATTAGCTCATGCTATCTTTTCTCGATCTTTAGATAGTCAAATATCCATCCAACAAATTATATTAAATCAATTTATAATCAGGAATGTCTGAAATGTACTAGTTATCTAGATTTAGTGTTATGTTCATATAAAAGCTACACAACTTGCATTTCTCGGCTGGAGCTATTTGGGTCGCAACGATCGCTGCGTAATTGAGTATTCACGGGCTATAGTTTGCAATGTCCTGCGAGCTGGCATAGACTAGTTATATTCAGAGTATACATATTACTAGATGTCGCTCGGGGACTACGTCCACGTGAAATTAAAAATTTATTACTCAGCGATGACGTAGCTTTGTAATATTGAAAGGTATTTTGAAATTACGTCCAATATTTTTTGTTATTTAAATACAAAAATTCAAATCTTTGTTTATAATATTAATAAAGATTAAATCGTGTATTCAAAATTAATAATAGGCGAAACTTATCAGGGATTTATAGCCATTTGAGAAAAAGACAAGAGCGTAATAAAAAGTTACGTGTCTATATAAATTTGAAGATCTAGCTGATCAGCTGTTTTGAACATGATATCTCTGATGATTAGATACTCTGTGGCCGTGACTAAGACTACAGCTACGGGTTCGGATATGAAACGGTAAGAACACTGCAATGGAAGCAACCCGTTAAGCCGAACACAATATAGATCTTAACGCTGGTCGATAAAGACGATATTTGAATATCAAATTCATTACATTTTAGGAAGCGATAGCAACGAGTCATACGTTCGATTTCCGTAATAGAACACGCGAATGTAATAAAAAGTTTACAATCCGTCAAATCTATAAATAGAAAACGGTATGACGTAAAATCGTTTAATACTCTGTGCAATAAATGCTGAGTTTCTTACAGCGTATAAAAACTCACTGTCATCCCTTTTATTCTTCTAAAAAAGACAAGAGACAGCAATACGTCTTTCCACATTAAGAGATTTTACTTTGTACGACTTAAAATTCTCAATTTTACAATAAACATTCCAAAAGTAGCAAAGAGTTAAAAAGTTGACCTTTTAATTGACGTCATAGTTAAATCATAAAAATATATAACATAAGATGACACAGAAAATAGAACATACAGACATTTAAAAATACAAGTAAAAATATCTAAGACTAATTGCATGCATTACTCTACGTAGGTACTAATTGCTTGTGTAAAACTCATGCGCATCCTTCAAAACACAAAGCAAGTAAACTCAACTCTACAGAACTACTGGTGTTTAACATAAAGATGCATAAACACTAGAGCGAAAAGTGTAACGGGTATTTTTAACAAAAAAAAACAACACTATAGACGCTCTAATGAATACACAACTTAAAAAAAATTAGTAAAAAAACTAAAATTTTTAATGTTAATAAACTAAACAAAATCAATAAACAAACGTAAAAAATAAACTTAAAATTGCTTACAGCGAGTCAAAAAAGCTCATCTGATCGAGTGGGTTGGTACTGGTGGTTGGGGGAAATAAAAAAAAAACATAAAATTAGTGCTCAATAAAAATGTGCCACGGGTAACATTATTCTTTGCAGTCGAATGGCTGGAAGAATGAACCCGCACCTTGTATGAGCATATATTTCTAGTCCCGTAAAAAATAAGATTTCCATATGCCATGAACTTTAGCCATCAACGTATTTTTAAATTTAAAAGATGTTTTTGTGCTTTAAAAATGGATACAAAATTATTTACATGGCATATGAAAATCCTTTAAGCACAAATCAAAGACCGACACCTGTAATTTAATAACAAGCAAAGCTTTTTTTGAGTCAAAAAAACGTGTAAAACTGTATTTTCTCTCAGAACGTCTATTATACAGTTTCGTATTAAATACAAATTTAAAATCAACTTAAAACAAAATTAACAACAGTACGAAATACTTTTTAAAAAATTTCTACAAAATTTTAGCTTTTAAAAAATTATGTACTCCAAAAAATTCTAATTTAAGCAAGTTTCGTAGCAGATACTTGTATTATTAACAAGATTTATTAGCATGATGAAAATCTCTAAATATTCAAAAACATAAAAAAACGTGATAAATATCACATTCCCCAGTAAACAAAGTAACATTGAATTATCAAAATCGTAAGAAAAATACTTGACAAGCACATGATATTTGGCAGTTCGATAATTTTTCACTTATAGATTGGCGACATCGATCTTTACTTTATTTAAGGGGTCTGGAGTATCAAAAAGAGATAATTTCACCTGGAATTTTATCAAGACCAGGTCAATCACAGACCAGATCTGGAAAAAAATCAGTAGTCTCACCTGCGCGCGGCCCAGAAGAATCCAGCTGAATCAACCGGCTCCAGCAGTCGAGGTGTCGAGGAACCGAAGGCGAACGCAGGCCTGGGAGTGGAGCGCGCAGCTCTGGCCCGTTCCAGGCGCTCCGTGCGTTCCTTCTCTCTCTGGAGAAGTGCCTCCCGTCGGGATACTGACGCCTCCCATATCGCACGCTTGCGTTCTTCCACCTGCATACAAAGGTTAGCGTAAAAATTACAGCTATTCTGTAACTTAGACTAGGTTTTAGGTGTTGATTTTGGTAGACTTTCATAGGTTCTCATCGAAAGACACTTGTCATTATAGGTAGACGAGTTTTATTTTCAATTTTACATACTTAAACATTCAGAAATCTGTCTCCCTCTATCCTTGCAACTACCTACTTAACACAATATGACAATAAAAGACCGACACTAATTTGAATACGGAATATTACAATTCCGCCTCGCCTGCTGTTATTCAGTCATATCTCTTGTATAGATTGCATCTTAAAGATAATATTTTTATAACCAGTCGGTGTTAGGCGAGTGCATCGGAATGCAGCCAGTCCTGAAGGAAGGGCTATATCCGTCCACTCCTTGCTTTTAAAAATATTCCTGAAGCCATCGCCACCGCTGAGGTATTTCCGTACGCCGTATTGTCGACTTGTTTCCGCGTGCTGAGAAGTTCAACATTTTTGGGTAAACTTAGAACAATTTTACTGGTTTAATAATCAATATTACTTTATAATTGCACTAGCTTTCGCCCGCGACTCCGTCCGTGTGGAATTAAAACAAAACAAAAGTGAGCCTGTGTGTTCTTCCAGAGTATACTTTTATATCTCTCTCTACTTTTATAGGAAATTTCATCGAAATACGTTTAGTCGTTAAGGCTACAAACATCTATCAATCCATCCAAACTTTCGCATTTATAATATAAGTATGAATAATTTTAGACTCCCTTGTCTTTGTTGTTTTCGTTAACTTATCTACGTTCATCATTCGTAGTTTAGCCTATATTTTTAAAACTTTGCAAGGATCAAATCCTATATCATCGGGCCTATCACATTATACTGACTATACAAGTTCCATTGATATAGTGTAGTCAATTGGTGGCCGCGTGTTGCAGATAATCAGGTCAGGCCAGAGACGAGTACGGAGTGACCTGACTTACATAACAATGTCACTTACAATTAACATCTAATGCGCATATAGGACATGTTCAAATGACTTGGATGTAAATTGAATAAATGCATCAAGATAAAAAAGTTCATACTAATAATTAAGAAGGAAGCCTATTTTTAGTTGGCAAACGCGCGAACGGCCACCTTAATTCGGCGAAAAAGCAAAACGACCACCGCCTATAGACATCCGCAATTGCAGATGCGTTGCCTACACATAATTGTTGCAAGAGACGCCCATATAGAGGATATTTCCTTCTTATGCGTCTGCTTCACCATCAATAAAACATTCCCTTCCCATCCCTTCCTTACAAGTAAAGGGTAGGAACTGAAGGGACTAAAATTAAGCCTTTAGCACATTCTGAGTTAATTGAGAATTTGCTATCTTATGCAATAGATTAAAAAAGTTGCAGATATTTTTTCATCATTCAATAATCGGTTATCAGATGTAATAAAGCTTAAAATATTTCATTCTTGTCTATTAGGCAATGGTACTTTCCCACTATATTCGATATCTTGGATTTAAAACAATATACACTAAGTAATAGATTAAGTCAACGCGGCTTCTTTACAATATTCGTCACATTTCAGCAGAACTAATGTGCAAAAGTGATACGTCAGTGTTTATGCAAACTTTGTCAACGGAATTTCAAATATTCGATACGAGCGAATGTTGTACAAGACTAAGGTGCGGTTACACTGAAATAATGCTAAGTTGAAGTGGTTACGGTGGAATTAATTGCTTCAAGATGGGATTCTACTTAGTTAATAATCTATATCTATTCTAATATTATAAGGCGGAAAGATTTGTATTTTTGTATGTATTCGATTCACACAGAAGCTACTGGGCAGATTTAAAAAAATCTTTCACCATTAAAAAGCTACGAGTAACATAGGCTATGTTTTTTACTATTTTTTTTCCACGCGGACGAAGTCGCGAGCAACAGCTAGTCATTGTTAATTTTGACGATAAGTTTACATATTACAAATTCTGTATTTTATAAAATTTACAATTATTATTAATAACGATTTCAATACCTTGTCTACAATATACAAACTTTAGTTTTTTTAGGCAATTGATGTACGAAAACTACTTAAAAATACAGACTTAAGTGTATTACAACCTCACAGGTGTTTACTCGAGCCGTGTCAATTAATTGGACAACTTCCTTGAGCAAGCATTTTAAGAATTTTATCAAAAAATGTCAATAAAGGCGTTCCGTTCTCATTACTTGCGGAACGTATTGGCAACGAGCCAGTCGTGTTAGACATGAAAGCCGGCTAAAAACCGAGCTAGACTTTCCTCTGCATTTAATGGCATTGAATCTTGACTTGGTAAATTATTGGTTTTTAGAGATGTAGGTTCTTAAAAGGTCACTTTACATTGAATAATGCGACTTTCAGGAAATAAACTATGAAATTCTTTCTTTATCACCTTACACTATTACCTAGGAACATTCTGCAAGCCTCTTTTCGTTAACTATTTAAATTGCCGGTGCATATTGTAAAAGCATATCAGTTACTGTTATGGGCGTCATCGTTAGGGGAGAGGGCACCCCATCTTAAAGAAGTATTTTCACTAACCTAGGGATTAAGGGCCTGCACTCCCCCTTGAGTATCTCCCAGAGCCCCTAACTCATTGGCTGATGACGCACAAGGTTACAGTAGCAATAATTTAAAGAGAAAAGTCTTAGAAGCCAAAAAAGATTTACTATAATATCATATCATACTCAGGGTCCTAGAATTTATAAACTTCAGCATAAAATTCCTACATAAATATTCTAGGATTGTTGGCCGTAAACTTTGCCTACGTTCCCGATCCCGGCGGTAGCGCAAAGCGGGAACATGGGCAACTCTCCGCATTGCGTCATTCGATATTTACTAGGAAATGCTGCATTTATACTATGAGGTAAGTATATTCTTGTTAGAAACATAGTAAAATATACAACTGTTATTTGCCTACTAAAATGTTCGCTTAATTTTATCATAAACAAGCTATTGCTGGCGACGTTGCCCTGGTAGAATAAAAAAAAAGTTAAAAACTCAATCAATGTTAGTGAGTTACGTAGCTTTTCAATGGTGAGGAATTTTTGAAATCGGTCAATTAGTTATCGAGTTATTTCAATACATAAAACAATCCAAAAATCCAAACCTAACCTCTTTACAATATTAGTATCTACACTTCTACAAATTCAGTGACCACTTTCAAATACTATATCAGAATCATCAACAATAGACTTACTAATTGTCGGTGAGTGTACATGTACAATGCAGCTCAGCGATGGAATTCGCCGCATTGTAATTCAAATGTCTAGCAAGCTGACGAGTGTCAACAATGACATCAGAGCGCAAGGACGCCAGTTACGTAACTGCGCGTGCGCAGGCAATGTACAAATATCCTTTATAATCAAAATAAAGAAGTTTTTTTCCCATAAACAGCACATTTTTCGCTATAAAGGTATATTCTCACTAATTATTGCACGTGATTTTGTTCCCGTGGAATAAAAAAAATAGTAATAAATGTAGCCTATGTTACTCAGCGATAACGTAGCTTTTAATTTGTGAAAGAATCTCTGAAATCGGCCCAGTAGATATTGAGTTATTTCAATACATACCAAAATCTATAATAAAAATACAAATCTTTCTTCTCTAGTATTATTATATCTCATATAACTACTATGATGTTTAAAGGACGCCATCTTGGGAGTTTAATGTTCTTTTGTTTACTTAATTTCAATCGAAATGGGTTATATTTGGAGAGAGATGCCGAGGTTTCATCTGATCTTGTACGTGGCTTATCTAAGCTTTAATTTTTCTATAATATACCAATATATCGTAAATTAATGTACAAATATGTATAAGTCAAAGGCCTGAATATGTTAAGCGCAACGAACGTGAAATGCTAATAGTTGATCTAATTAGAAACGCAGACGAGCTGAATATATATGCGCTGTACACTTTTTATAACAAGGGCTAGGTTTCGGCCACAACTCCGTCAAAAAACAACGATAAAAAAAACACAAAACTGTGTAGTAGCCTATGTGTTCTTCCAGACTATCCTCTACGTCTATGCCAAATTTCATTGGGATCCGTTTAGAATAAAAAAAAACATACAGACGAATTGAGTACCTCCTTCTTTTGGGAAGTCGGACAAAAATATAAACATCCGTCCATCTAAACTTTCGCATATTATAATGATGTGATTATTAGAAGTGATAAAAATAAGTTGAAATTACATTCTAGTATAGAAACAAATTCCATTCCTAGTTTAAATTTAACACTTCAAGTGCTACTCTCGATCTGCAGTTTCACTTTAGTCTGTAAATTGTTGTGGCACTGAAAGTGTTAACAGCACTGCTTCTATTGTACGGATAACAACGTAAACAAGACTAATCTAATTGTCATTGTCACTACATTGTATAGCTGAGATTGTGTTAGTAAATATTAATGCCATAGGCTTCTCTTATTGACCGCACAGTGCAAAACCTCATCACAGTATGAGTTTTTATAGTAAGGTGGCAAATACATTAGCGGAAACCTTAATTTTAACGCTGGCTATAGTCATACTAAATAGCAGATGAGATGCCTACCCATAATCGAAGAAAACGCACATAAAGTTGTGTTCCTTTCTATGCGCCTCTTTTCGCATCAAATCTAATTACTTGCATCCTTACAAAGAAAAAGTTAAAAGGGGATTACAGTAGGCACAAAAAATATATTAGGAAGTATCAAAAGACAACAATAAACCCCTCTGAAATAATTGTAAAAAAATACGTCGAATCTAACGAGAAGATTTTGTATTAGCGTTGCTGATAACGAATTTTTTTTTTGTCTATAATGTCTGTCCGCAAGCCGTGTTTGTTCTGGTTAATCTCCGAAACGGCTGGGCCGATTTCCATCGGACATTCACTGAAGAGTAGCTGACATAAACGGGCATAGCATAGACTACTTTTTCATCTTAGCATTGCGTGGACGAAGTCGCGGGCAACAAATAGATACAAATACGATCTGACAATAGACAACTAAAACTATGTGCATTGTTACACATAATTACTACGGTACTAAAAAGGCATCGTGTGGCTTAGTGCAGTCTTAAAATTATTATCTTATACAAAAGCAATCTAGAAGGTGCGAGCGTCTCGACGCTGACTTTCACTTCGCCACACCACAGCGGTCAGACGATAGTGAAATTTTGAAAATGCACCTCTATACATAATTCCTGCGAGTAGCGATAGATTGTAATGCCTCTGCGTGAAAACTAAAATGCAATATGTTATGAACCTACATAAAGATCTTAACTTACTAGTTGTTGTGAACTAGTTGTTGGTCGCGACTTCGTCCACGGGTTACTAAAAATATTATGCTACACAGTGGTAACGTAGCTTTTTAATGATTTAAGAATTTTGAAAATCGGTCCAGTAATATTTCAGTTATTTCAATACGTACAAAAATCCAAAATACAAATCTTTTCTCTTTATAATATTAGTATAGAAGTATACATTAATAGTGAAACAGAATATATTGTTGTGTTCTTAGAGATATGAATTATTTTATACAAGTTGTATCGACAGTAGACCTCTTAAAGCGTACGCTGAAACTAAAGTATCGCACAACTCAGTCTCGCTGATTCCTATGATCTTATATAGTTGTGCAACTAAACAGTTGAATCTGCGAAACAATCGACAATCGCGCAACAGTCGTGCGATAGTTTAGCCGAAGGTGTGCGCACGCATAAACGCATTTACTATTCCTGTCATACAACGTAGACGGGAGTAAGTGGGATGTGACGTCACTGCGGTTAATTGGCTCACAAGACAACCGCAGAAACAAACGACGTAAGACGGATCTAGAGTTAAATGTTTTGTGAAAAATACAGATTAAATTAAGACAAAAGTTAAAACAATATAGACAAAGAGACCATCACTCGAATATTTGTAACTTATTGGAGTTTGAAGGTTTCGTAACATAATTTCGTTTAAGAATCTCCAAGTATGGGTATATTCTAGAACAAATCTAAAAAAAGACAAATGTCATGATATATTCATTTTTAGTAGTTGTAAAAACCATGCGTGATTAACAAATCCACGTATTTATGTTTATTATTAGTAGAACAAATATTTCGGTAAAACCATTTTAGTTCATGCTATTAAACACGATTCATAAAACCTATAACCAATGGCGATATTTCAACGTGCAGTTTAGGCGCGTTTGGAATTTCAAAAGCAAAGTCTGTTGCGGATCATTGTAGTTATCGCACAGAAATATTTACTTAGCTCCTAAACTAATATTTCAAATAGCTCTTTACGTGGGAGCGTTAGCCTCTAGCTAGACTTAATAGTGCTAGAGTGTTTTAATATTACAAGTGATTTAAAAGTAGCATACTTCATACTTTCGAACTACATGCATTACACGATACCCGTATCTCATGTTTTTATTTACGGTGATACGGACAATACCTAGCTCAAACCAAAACCAATAGTTAACTCACCAACATAGAAGTGACAAGTTGACAGAACGGCTAGTCCTTTGAAAGTTACGGTAAGTTTTAGGGACAGTTCAAACAACATGTGTCGACTATTACGTCCTGTTCCTGCTTTTTGTGGGATGGTGAGGGCTGAGAGGTACGAACCTGGAGCCTTCTGTCGCTGTCCCTCGCTCGCTGCTCGGCCTGTCGGAGCAAAGTCATACTTGAGAGTCATTTGCCTCGCAACTAGAGACATCCCCTGTGTTTGTGCGTTTTGCAGGCGACAGGCTTTTTTAAGTTATACCCAATTAAACTAGACGAGGAACCGAAGTTACGAAAGGAAATGCGAGAGTCGAAATAGGTACTTCTAATACCTGCCTTATTTATAAATATTGTTTACATAGAAGTTACTAGATGTCTCCTATAGCCTACTCCTCTATTTAAGGTCATGACTTTGGGAGTCCTTTTACTGACTTACCCACGCGAGAGTGAAAACACGACGACCGAACTTTACATTACTGTACTCACACCAAACCACCTCTACCAATTAACACTATTACTATCGTGGATCACATTGTCTCTGAGAGACAGACCTTTCTACGGTATCATGTGGCACATGTTAGTCTGTGTGAGGGACACATAGTATTTTATTGACCTGTAGCCTTCTGTCGTCATCTCTTGCGCGCTGCTCAGCTTGTCTTCGACGGCGGTCCTCGTCTCGTTTCTCACGCTGGGCTTGCGCGGCCGCCGCGTGCGCTCGCAGCTCGTCAAGCCGTTTGCGCTGCTCCGCCTCCCGCCGCTCGCGCGCCAACCTCGACCGGTCCAAAGCCTCTGACGACACTGGGAACAACACAATAGATTATAATAACAGGAACCAATAGCTTTTTAAAAGGAAATAATCGATAACGTCAACTTTGAATTGCGGTGAAATAAATTTTTATCACATAATAGTAGTTTAACGATATAAATCGAATAACGGCCAGTTTCCCAGCTACTCTTAACCATACGTATACGTATTGTTATTAGTTCCATAAATTCATGAAATGCGTTTCCGAACTACGTTACTTGAGTTTTACTCCGTTAAAACTTTGTTCAACCTAACATTAATGAATCAATAGCTAACAGAAACTTCAGAAACCCCGCAAAAATAGTTCAAACTTTTCGATCACCGGAAGATCATATATGAGTTAAGCCGTATTATGAATATTTTTGATATAAATCTAATCGTATTATTTAAAACATAAGCCACGGAGTTCGCAAAGACGTACAAGGAGGGAGATAATACCTTGTTGACAATAATTACGATCACATATTAATTGTTTATCATAAACCGTGATGTATCAAAACTATCACTATGATGAATCATTCTGTGTATCACAGAATTCATTTTTATCATCACAATGACTAGGCTAGAATTTCAGAGTTACTAAAACGGTGCGCAACGTTAGACAAGGAAACGTAAGTACGTGTAGTACAAATTTGCATATCTGGAAATATGCCAATTGCAAGCTCTACTTCTTTGTCTCGACTGGGTTGACAAAAGGCTAACGGACATAAAGAAATATTACACTAGCTTTCGCCCGCGAGTCCGTTCGCGTTGAATTAAAAAAAACAAGAGAAGTCTATGTGTCCTTCCAGGCTATCCACATCTATGCCAAATATCATTGAGATTCGATCAGCCGTTGAGGCTACAAACTCTAACAAACATCCATCTAAACTTTCGCATTTATAATATTTGTATGAAGCATGATACCAAGTACAATAACAAAGAAATTAACCAACGTTACACATAGTAAAATACTAATAGTAAAGTACTAATATTATAACGAGGAAAAAATTGTATTTTTGTATGTATTGAAAAAACACAAAACCTACTAGGTCGATTTTAAAAATTCTTTCACTGTTAAAAAGGTAATTTATCTGTACCAGGGTATATTTTTAATTTAACGTGGACATCGCAAGCAACAGCTAGTCACATAACATTTTACATTAAGTGCAATTATATTTAATATAGCATAAGCTACGTATTGTATGACATTGCGTGTAACGTAACACCTACACTGACGGATAACAGATGTTCCGAGATTGTCAGACATCTGGCTTTTTTACTGTATTACGCTCAATCAGTTACAACTGATTGAATATAAATTGATTACACTTACTGCGAGTCACAAATCCTTTAACGATCGCTTTAGCAGTCATTTAGTGCAAACATTAAAAGTTATGAGAACGTCAGTTAACTTATAAAGGTATTAACATAAACTACGTATCACTTTTACCGATTTATCTTTTTTTTTAATGCTAAACTATACTAATGATTCATATTTTTATATGTATTGAAACTCAAAAACTTCTGACGATTAAAAATTTCTTTACCTTTAGAAAGGTTATATCTGTGAGTAATATAGGCTATATTATTATTATTTTATTTCATGCGGACGAAGTCGCGAGCAACAGCTATTGTAAAAGCTCATAGAGGTAGAGCCATAATCGTATATAAAATCGATATCTAGATTATCAAATCGTCTCGGTCGATTGAGGAAATCGATTCCAATTCGTATCTCGTTCAACGTTACTTGTCGGCGTGTCAGTGAAAGTGTTAGATTGGGAACGCTTTCAGCTACGCTTCAGTTTCCATTTTAATGCTTTAATACGATCGGTTGAACGTGTGAATTGTCTTAACGTGAGTTTCCACTGACAGAACCAAGAAACACGATTTACTATGCCTCTTTGACATTTAAGAACTTTTAGGCATTACATTCTTATCAGTCGGGTAAAAATCAGTAATGATTTCTAAGGGTGAGTTGCATCAAATCGCTGGTTATCGTAAAAGTTATAATAGGGTTACAAGTGCAAAAACATATTCTCACAGAGGTTTTATGTGTTTTTCGTTTTTACAATGGAAACATTTAAACCTGAATGTCACTGAAGTGTCAAGTTGGTGTCAAGAATGACATTTACGTAAATTAAAATGTTTGGAAATTCATGTTTCGCCGATTATATTTATGTATCATACGCATGGTATTTTATAGTGAAATAAACTTTTTGCACACGAAGATGGAGAAAATGGCAAACTCTTGTGAAAATAAACTAGTTTGGGCCATTATTGAAACTGTATTTACTTTACTACTCAAATATGTAGCAAAAATGAAGCAATAAAATTATACAAATATAAATGCATCTTATTTATTTTCCATATTATAAATTGTCCTGTCAATGCATATTATAAATTGACCTTTTATGGAGGACATTTTTTTAAATAAGAGAAAAGGGACAAGCGCTGTTGCTATGGCTTTAGACACTCGAAATTTGTCCAAACTGAATGTTTGGCCAAATTTAGAGTTCCATCTTGGAAATCCATTATTTCCGAGCACGCAAGACTTTTTTCTTCTGGATTACATATAGGATAATAGTAGATATCTTCTTTTTCTATTAATTTTTCCATTATTTGTGCTTTTGAAGATAAGAGCTTGTGACAGTTGACACTACCGAACTGACACTAACCGTAACGCTAACTATAACCGCCCAAAATCGGGCGGTTATGATTAGTGTCAAATATGACGTTATTTTGACCAGCGCAAAACTGGTGTAGCGAATATCATGAACATCCGAAGACATAACCATCGGGAATGTGCTGGTTAAGGTTTATAGTTAGTTAATGTAACTCATCCTTAGTAAATTTGAAGATTATTCCAAATATTACCATTTCAAATAATTTTAACTTTAACGGTAACCGGCGATATGGTGCAACTCACCCTAAGTCTTTCAATTGTGGGAAGTTAGATATAAACCATATGCGTGTCTGAACGTGTAATTTGACCCAATTAAACCGCCCCACCTTGATGTTTTCCTTAATCAATACTTATGAATGAAACAGCTGAGGTCAGACACCTATAATGCATTTTTATAAGTAAAAAATCAACTAGTCTGTCTGTAAACACATTTAGATTAATTATCTCACATGCGAAAATTTTTATGTTTGGATGGATGTTTGTTAAAAGCTATTTAAACGTTTGAACAAACACAGGCTACTTTTTTTAAATTCCGTGCAGACGGAGTCGCTGGTAACAGCTAGTTCATTAATACAAAATCTAACGTCAAACAGTTGTACATTTACATTCAAACTCACATTTCTAAATAACAAACAGCCCTAAGACCGGAACGGTAGTCATCATCAAAACATACTGAAATGTATTTCAAGTAACTATTACCGCATGGAATGTTTTATCGATATCGATACTGCATGAACTCTGATGTGATTTATCGATAATTACAATAAAACTACATTCAAGACAGAACAAGGAAATATTTCATTATATAGAACAAGGTCGTCCGCTAGCATTATGTACGCATACGTGGTTTGAACCTAAACATTAAAGACTAAAATAAATCGAGAATCGCGTGATAAATTACCTACGTCATCGTTTGTATCGATCTGTTCAAGAAAATCCAAGAGGTTCCTAACCCGCATTACTAAAACATCGAATTCTCGAACCTCTATCTATTAGATACTAGCTGTTGCCCGCGATTTCGTCCGCGTGGAATTTAATAGTTTGAATCAAATTTTCACCTTGTTATTTAGACCTTTATGGGACAAATCTGAATAAAACTTCAATAATGTAGTTATTTGTTTCGATAAGTGTTTATTTAATTTTCAAGTAATTCTGTCGAAGGAAAGGCATCTCTCCATATAAACTTTTGACACCGCTTCAGACGTCTATATAATCTATTTCATAAAAACTCTTATATCTATAATACTATGTATAAATTCACGATCATCTAAACACGAAGATAGGCTTCAAGTTTAATTTCATACATATTTACATTTCAAGCGACCCAAACGCGATATGGCGTCGCATTTCTCCGGCGATATCAGCCATTGATAAGAGGCAGATAAATATCATCTACAAGTCAATTGAGAGCTCTACATTAAGTGCACTCTAGTTTAAAATTAATGTGTTTTTTTAGAAGGCTTTTAACACGTACGTAAACATTTTAGGTTAGTTTATAGTTAGTCAATATTTCTAATCAAATCATCGAAGAGTTTTAAATCAAATTAAACAGCTATTAACTTCGTAAAAATATTAACAGGATTTAAGACCCATATATTCATTTATAAGGATATCAAAACGCAATAGAAAATAGTTGGTCCTCTACAAACCGGAAAGAACACACTTCTTACACAAGTAAAGATGCTATATAAGCTCTTGATTTACCAAATTCAATATCATGACACCTTTTGTTGTATTAAGCCATCCAATAAACAAATTAAAACGATGAACTATTAACCTATGTCGACATTTCTCTAAATCAAAAAACACGTGGGCATGAATTAATATGCCAAACACCTAATATTGCCTTACGTAGGATTTAAGGTTAGATTCCAAACCTAAACAACGCCCACACAACGACCTTAGGCCATTGCAATAAAGTCCAAACTCATATACCAAGTTTGGTTTGCACGCAAAATAGAACTTTATGGTCATCGTCGTAAAGTTTATATTGGTATGTCAATTAAGGATGGTTGAGTGGACCATGGCAAGGTCATATTTCTATACAAGACTGTCATATTCATAAGCGAGATTAGTAAGTCGATGTACCGATAACTGATACATTAATAACGGGCCTACTAACTCGACAGCCTCAGGGTAATATGTAGGAAAGCCTATCAATAGATACAAATTGACTGACAAGATTTTAATTATAGTGTCAATATACAAATCATACTAAACCTAGCATCTTACCAACATTATAAATGCGAAAGTTTAGATGGATGGATGTTAGTTTGTGGCCATCATGATTAAAATTGGCATAGACGTAGAGCATAGTCTGGAAAAACA